GTCTTCGCGTGATGTTGGTACTAGTTCATATAGATATCACACCGCCACAGACTTAAAGAAGTTTAGTTAAACACTTTAAGTAACCCCTGTTGTTTCCACCCCCATCCGACGTTTTTATGGTAGGCTTCAATCTATGACTCATCTTGTTTATCACCAGCTTTCTGGTGGTCGAGAACTTCACCATCAGGTTATTATTTCCCTACACCAGGGGTGGCGAACCTTTTTGGATCAACGTGCCATTTTTTCTAAAGAAATGTTTACAGAGTTATAGGCGTGCCATCAAATAATTTTGACGTGATTATTGGGAAACTAATAAAACTAAATACGAACAAATTAAAATTCTTTATTTAATACGAAAAAATACATTTTGTACTATTTTTACTATACTAGTAAATGTTTTAGTTATACATGTAATTTAAATTAAAGTAACACTAGTATGTCTCCTGTTGTCGTAGATTAGCAGAATGCATGCTGAATTAAAGTCGTCTGCAAAACGGTTTCTAAGCGAGTCTTTGCTGTAATTTATCTCTGAAAATAATGACTCGCAGACATAGGTAGATGAAAATATGGTTAAAATAGCATAAGCCAGGTTCTTCAAACAGTTAAATGCGTCTGGAATCGAATTCCATGTTTCCAAAATTTCGTTACTGGCAATTTTACTTATATTTCTTGCTAATCTTTCTGCTTCAATCAATTCCAACTTTTTCCTTGTTTCAATAAACTTTTAAATCCATATTGAACTAGACTGGAAATCAATCAGTTGCATTTCAAATTCTTCAATTTCCATCTAATCGAACTGGGACAAATTCAGTTTATCAAACAAAATCACATCAGGGTACATAATAAATTTGAACGTTTCCGATAATTCCTTGAACTGAGAAAATTCTTTGATTGAAGAATCAGTCATGGAAATAAATTCATCAATAATTGTTTCTTCATTTCGTTTCTCTTGGGTATCTAAATCTTTGATATTTTTTTCAAGTTTGGGGAGTACTTGTAGTTTCTAGTAATAATATCGTTTCTGAAAACATACAGTTTAACTTCAAAAGCGCGAATGAGATCCATCATGACGATGACTGTTTTATTCGGGCCTTGAAGCTTTACGTTCAATTCATTAAAATGTTGGCATATGTCTGTAAAAAACATCAATTTTAAAGCCACATAATATTCATCAACTGAGGGTATTGTTCAATTTTGCTCTCATTTTGTAGAAACAGTCTGATTTCTTAAAAGTAATCAACAAATCTTTGAATTACGTTCCCACGAACCATTATACACCGAATTGACTTCATTCAAACAAAGCATCAAACTTCCGCTTATTTAAGGCCTGCGACGATATGAGGTTGACTATTTTTGTGACTCACGTTATTACATTATCAAGAGATGTTAAACCACTCTTTGCACATAAGGCTTGTTGATGAATAATGCGGTGGCATTCAAGAATAAAATGTCCTACGTCTGTTTTAAATAAAGAAATGAAACCATTTTTTTTGAAGTTATACTTCTTTTGGGGCGTTAGAGAAATAGGATGAGGGTAAATTTTTACGATGCGTGCGCACAGCGTCATGGATGCGAAAACGATTTGTCTAGAAATATACAGAACGGAATAGATCAACCCCGCCTTCGAAATTCTCAGAAAAATATTTCTCTTCACTTTCCTGAAGAAGGGGACACCCGGGTTTGAACCTGAGATCTCTCGATCTGCAGTCGAATGCTCTACCACTGAGCTATACCCCCGCGTCAGCGAACCTTTGCTTTGCGTTCCTTAGGAACGGATACGAAAATGCTTTGTCTAGAAATGTACAGAACTGGACAGATCATTGCCGCCTTCGAAATCTCAAAAAAAAAAAAAAAAACATTTCTCTTCACTTCCCTTAAAAGAGGGCACCCGGGTGAGCCGGGGACCTCTCGACCTGCAATCGAATGCTCTACCACTGAGCTATACCCCTGCGTCAGCTAACATTTGCTTTGCGTTCCGTAGGAGCGGATACAAAAATGCTTTGATTAGAAATATGCAGAACGGGACAGATCATTGCCGCCTTCGAAATTCTCAAAAAAAAATATTTCTCTGAAGAAGAGGACACCCAGGTTTAAACCGGGGACCTCTTGATCTGCAGTCAAATGCTCTACCACTGTGCTATACACCCCGTGTAAGCGAGCCTTTGCTTTGCGCTGATTTGTGACGTCACTACTAGTAGGGAAAGATCGTCCTTCGCATACGGAGCATTTCTGATGCATTTGTTTGAACACTTCTTGTTATTAATCCAAACATACTTACAGGAAATTAAAAAAAATTAATAAATTAATCTTTAAATTGTGTTTTATGTACATAAAACATAAGCCAATTTAAACAACAATTGCAAGTATACGATTATAGATGTATTTACTACGAACGCATTACGATGAACATAAACACATTTAATATATTGTAGCAAATTATATGAGATTTTTGTATTCGTATATTTATTTTTGAAGTTATACTTCTTTTGGGGCGTTAGGGAAAAAGGACGAGGGTAAATTTTTACGATGCGCGCATACACCTTCACGACACCGATGCGCGCGCGCACACCATAGTCTAATATATTATGACATGCCACTTTTTTGGTGCTATGGGACTGATATTTGGGGGATTATAATAACTATTGTTATAAACCATATCTTTTGGGACGCATACCCTCTCCCTCTACAGCTTTTTGGCCAATATCTCAGTACCCGAGCCTCACAGTCCATTCAGACCTGGCTCTTACGATCCCTCTCTATCTGCTTTTTCAGTTATTATAATTTCATGCTCATAGGGCTATTTCTTGTATAGTTTTTAATTGTCTTAAACTTTTTAAATTTGTTTAAATTCACAATATCTTGGCTCTTGTTCGAGTCTCGGACTTGAGATTTGAACCAACTGTTCCACTCGTCGAGACCGATCCAGTCATCTACTTCATTCTCGTTGTGTAGTCATGGGCAGGGCTTAAGCTCTATAATATGCTCCCATGTTAATCGTATGGGAACTGGAAAAAATTTCACCCCCCTAAGGAATTGAGCTTGGAACTTGATTTTTGGAGGTCCCCACCATATTTTCGTATTAGCGCGAGCTTTAAGTGGAATTGGTCCCTTCCCCCTACAGGGCTTCCCCACAAATAACTCGAATACTATGCCAACTTGGTCGACCGCACCGGCTGAATTCGATTGTTCTTCCTATGAACATCCTAAATATATTTTTTCAGGATCACATAGCCCCATTTCTTTACCCATATTTAACATTTTAAAATGATTTTAGCTATAATTCTTTTTAAATCCCCATAGCTCCGAGGAATTTTGAGATTCATTAATGAAATTCGGACCATAGGTTCTCCTCGTTAAGCTCTTTTATCTCTTATAATTCGGGTGTAGATAGTGGGCTTAGGGGTGGGGCGTTATCACTAAAATTAGAATCCCCATGTTTTTCCTATGGGGTTCGATCTTTTGATGACGTAACGATATTACAGAGACAGAAGGATGATACTTTGGCATCACCTACTATTCTGTGTATCGTTGGGATGTACGTGGCCATTTACGTCACAATTATTCTCCCCCGGGGGGAGTTAGTTTTGTTCTCCTTTCCCGAGCTAGTGCCACCCCATTTGCAACTACAGACTCCGGACCTATTCTAATGGATTACTCTTGTGTTTGCTCACAACCAGTCCCAGGTTCGAGTTGCTGGGTTCCCTGCTTCAATTTTATTTAATATTTTTAATTATTTTAAAATGACCATAACTCGGGGGCTCTTCAGGCGGTTGACTTAATTTTCTCAGGGTCGATTCTTCCCCACCCCCCCCCCCCGAGACATTCAATATGGGGTCAAAGATGTCACATTCGGTTCACCTCATCTCCAGATACAGTGTGCCGAAAACCCTCCATGTTATTGGTCCTATTGTCCCTGTGCGGGGGTGTTTAAATTTATTTAAATCGTGATTATATCGGGTTTGGCTGGTCCGATTGACTGCAGGTTAGTATCGTTCAACTCTGCTCATGACTGCCTTTCGTCCTTGGCCCAGCTTGCCCTGCTAAAGATTTTTAGAAAGATCTTAATCTTGTTACGCCAAAGAAGTATAACTTCTTACGTGCGTACATAAGTACACACACACACTTTTTTCCCTACCATATTTGGAGCACCATCAGTGATTACTGAAACAATTTTTTTCAAATCAATTTTTTTTTCAGCAAGCGAATTTCTTAATGCCGTACAAATATACATATGTGCCCTTTGTAATTCTATTTTTATTCACAATTAATTCTTCCTTATAATGACGATTCCTACACAGTATCGAGCAAAGACAGCTGAACGTGCAGATTAGTGATGTCAATACTTTCGTCAAGACATAGCGATATAAAAGGAGCGGAGTTAACGTCCTTTTTTTGTTGATCTGTAACATTTTCTGCCAGTTTCAAGATTCTATCTTTTATTGTGTCTCTAGATAGAGGAATATCTTTGATGCGCTGAATTATCTTATCTTTATTACAGTGCTTCTCAAACTTTGAATACTGGCGCCCCCTTTTCAATCACAATTTTTATCGCGACCCCCTTATACATTAATAATGTACTGAATCCAATAATAATGCACTTTGACGCTAAAGCTACAATACGCGATCTTAATTATAAGCCGTACAAATTAATAACATAAGACAGTGCTTCTCAAACTTTCAACATTGGAGACCCACTTTCCAATCATAATTTTTATTGCGCCGACCTTATACAATAATAATGTATTGAATGCAATAATAATGCACTTTGACGCTAAAGCTACAAAACTATCTTAATTATAAACCATACAAATTATTAAGATAAATATATTAAATTTTATATATGTAACTTTTAAGTAATATATATTTTATTTTTTTTTCTCGAATTTTTAAATTGGAACAGATTGTAAAATGCGGTAGCTGCTTTCAAGACAAAATATAGATCTCAGCCAAATATATAGAAAATGCACTGAGAGTGTCAATTTCTAATCGTAAACCTTCCTTTGAAAAACTTTCCTCTGCAAGACAAGCCCACGGAAGTCGCTAATACTTATTAAACTTGCTCTTAATTTAGTATTAATAAATTAGTTATAAAAAAACCTTGCGCAGTACTGATACACTAAAATTATACTGTCTGAAGTACCCGCTCTTCGAACGAGTTCATTTTTAAAAAAAATTAAAACATTCTTGATGAATAGCTGAATTGTCAGGAGAGTAAACCCAAATGCACGACAATGTTTACGAAAATGTAAAATGATATTTTAAAACAAATTCTCATATTATAATTAGTTTTAAGCGAACTGTAATTTTAAGCCTCCCACAGAATTAGCATTTAGAACTAATGTTAAACAATGAAAAATAATATAAAATTCCAATGAAGAATAATCGTGTTATTTTTAATATTTAAAGCTAGAAGACTTCAAAATGTTTTATCCCGGTGGCATACACACACTCAATACTAGCGTTAATGGTCACGCGGGGTGATTGAGTCACCCCAATCCTTTTTTTTTTTATAATTTTTTTATTGTACACGATACAAATCATGATTCCAGTGAATAATTTAATCAAGAGAAAGTAAAGTTACCTACTTTCAAGAACTTTTCAATTTTTCTTTGGTAACAAATAAACAGTTTTGCCAGAATTAACGATACTGTGATCTGTATGTCCCGCGCGACCACTTCCGGGTTAAGAGTGTATTCATTATGATACGTTACTGCTAAAAAAATTGTGTAAAACGTTTTTCACTATGCTTTATATGTTTGAGAATACTCATAAAAATAAGTCTTGGCCAAGTAATCCTTCAAAAGTGCGTGGTTTTCCAAATATCATAAAACTCTTTAGCATGGAAAAAAGCACAACAGAGAAATACATTACTTACAACTTCCCTAAATGAGAAACAAACGCATAAGAGAGGGGTCATAACTAACTGTACCAATAACTTAGAAGGTCAAAAAGATTAACAGCAAAAACAGATTACAGCTTTAATGTGCAGTATTTCAAAAATAATCACAGTGATGAATTTTTTATGTTCCTAAATTTTTTCGATTCTGGGTCTGGGATTTGTTTTTTCTCTGAAAGAGTAGTAAAAATCACTCACCATGAGATTACAGCAAATCAAATAAAAGTTTTTTTATTTGGTTTTTTGGATCAAAGATTGCTAATTAGGTATTGAAGAAGTTTTTATTTTTGAGATGACTTATATCGCCTATAAATTATATCAGAGTAAAAGTACATTTTTTATTATGTCTGAAAGTATTTTGTTTTGATTCATTCCAGTAAATTAATTAGTTTTTAAATCTTTTATTTTTGATATGCTAGCGCCCCCCTTGCAGGGGTATCGTGCCCCCCCCCAAGGGGGGGAAACCCACAGTTTGAGAAACACTGCTTTATTATCAAAATCATCAAAAAGTGAGAGCATGCATGCCAACCAAGCTTCCTTCAAAGACACTCCCTCTTGAAAGGTTTACCATTCCGAGCAATGGCATTTGCAGTCGAGTAACTTGCCGCACTTGTGAAATAATTTTTGCTTACTTATTTAATTATAGACGTCGAATGTTTATTTCTGTCTTTTATTGCACTTGCAATTAATTCTTTTTTGCTGTGGTTCACTTTTTTCACAAAAGAATTTGTGATTTGTTTCAAAATGCCATTTTACACACGCGATGCTCTGCATACCACTGTTCCAGAACATAAAACACACACTACTTTGTCGCCTTTACTGGTCATGCCATATTTTTAAGTCCACCAAGTTTGAAATTTTCTGCTACTCTTACTATCTTGCACTTTTTTTTTTTTTTGCTGAACTAGCCATGTTAAATAGCAGCTAAAAATCGTATATTTAACACAAATAAACTTTAAATAAGCAGTTGTGTCGACCAAATTGACTATTCTATGTGCTCTCGCTTGATCACACGAAAAAAAACCCTTTTCGCTGACTGCGGGCGCATGCGCA